ATGAGTATGATCATTATAATAATGATGAAGAGGATGACGAAGCCGTTGATGATGATAAGGAAAATGATTACAACTACCGCGCCGACGACGATGATGACGGCGATCATGATGATAATGATGACGGCAATGATGATGATGATGATGATGATGAGTATGATCATTATATTAATGATGAAGAGGATGACGAAGCCGTTGATGATGATAAGGAAAATGATTACAACTACGACGGTGACGAGGATGATAATGATGTTGACGATCCTGATGTTGTTGATGATGGTGCTGATGATAAAAATGGTCATGATGATGCTGATGATGAAACTGATGATGACGGCGATGTTGGTGATTGTAATGATGATGATGATGACGAAGATGCTGATGATGACGATGGTGGTGGTGGTGATGGTCAATACTGTTATGATGATGGTGCTGATGATGATGTGCAATGATTATGCGGTTGATGATGGTATTGAGTATGGTGATGATGTGGATGATGGGGATTGGTGTGACGATGATGATGATGCTGATGACGATGGTGGTGATGATGATGCTAATGATAATGATAATGCTGATGCTGACGATACTGATCATGACGATCATAATACATATGTTGATGATGATAATGATGATGATGACGGTGATGGTGGCCGTGAAGATAATAATGATGATGGTGATGATGATGCTCGTGGTGATGATAATGATGCTGATGATCGTAATGTTCATGCTGATGTTGATGATGATGTTGGAGATGATGGCGATGATGATGATGATGGTGGTTGCGACGAGGATGGTGGCGACGATGATGAAGGTGACGATTATCATCATCAAGATGGTGTTTGTGATGATGACCATGGTGATGATGCTGATGGTGGTGGTGATGATGATGACGATGCTGATGATAGTGGCGATGATGATATTGATGATGAAGGCGATGGTGGTGGTGATGATGGTGATGACGACAGGGATGTTGAAGATGACGATGCTGATGAAGACGGCGCGGGATCGGCGCCGACGACGATGATGACGGTAATCATGATGATAATGATGTCGATGACGATGATGATGACTATGATGACGATGAAGGCGATGATGCTGATGCTGATGAACATGGTGGGGACGATCGGGGTGCTGACACTGATGACGAGGATGAGGCTGATGATGGACATGAGTACGATGATAATGATATGATGAAGAGGCTGATGATGAGTATGCTGATGATGATGGTAATGGAGATGGAGATGGTGTTTGTGAGGATGATGATGAGGTTGTTGACGAAGATGGTGATAATGATTATGAAGGTGATAACGAAGACGGCGACGACAGGAACGATACGGATCATGATGATGTTGATGATGATCGTGGTACCGACGATAATAATGATGACTATCATAACGATCATGGTGGTAATGGTGGTACTGATAACGCCAATGATGCGGATGATGATGAGGAAAATGATGGTGATGCTGATGATGCTTTCGCTGGGGATGATACTGATCATGATGATTATGACGTGTATGGTGATTGTGACGATGCTCATCATGATGCTGATGATGGTGGTGATGATGATGCTGCGGATGATCGTGATGATGATGGGGATGATACTGATGATGAATATGATGGCGATGAGTTTGATGATATTGGTTTTTGTGATGATGGTAATGGTGCTGATGATGGTGGTGATTGTGATGATGATAATGGTAAGTGAGATGCTGATGATGATGGTGGTAGTGATAATGATGACGATGGTGCTAGTGATGATGATGATGCGGATGATGACGACGGTTGTGGCGGTAATCATATTGATGCCGATACTGATGATGATGGTGATGGGGATGCTGATGATGACGATGCTGATGATGACGACGTGGCGGCGGTGACGGCGCCGACGACCATGATGATGTTGCTGGTGATGATGGCGGTCATGACGATCAACATGATAAGTATGATGTCGATGATGATGATGGTTATGCTGAGGATTCTACTGATGGAAACGCCCAGGGTGCTGACACTGATTACGGGGATGGGGATCATGACAGAAATGGCTACCATGACGACGATGATGATGATGAGACTGATCATGATGATGATGGTGGTGGTGATGGTGAGGATGGTGATGAGGTTGTTGACGATGATGGGGATGAAGATGACGACAACGACGGCGTGGACGATGATGATGATGTTGATGATAATGATGACGATAATGGTGATTATGGTGATGATGATGATTCTGATGATGGTAATGGTGGCAGCGATGATGCTGATGATGATGCTGATGACAGTGATGGTGATGATGACGATGCTGATGATGATGATCATGATGATGAGGCTGATGATGAAGCTGGGAATGATGACGATGATGATACGACGATTCTGGTGATTGTGATGATGATAGTGATGATGCTGATGATGGTGGTGATGATGATGATGATGATGACGGTGGTGGTGTTGGTGATGCATATGACGATGATGATGATGATGTTGATGATGGGGATGCTGATGAAAACCCTGCTGATGGCAACGACGCGGCGGCGGCGCCGACGACGATGATGACGATGATGGTGATGGTGATCATGATGATGATGACGGCGATCAGAATGATGATCATGGTTTTGACGATCGGGGTGCTGACACTGATGACGAAGATGAGGATGATGAAAATGAGTACGATGCCAATGATGTTGATGACGACGATGGTGATGATGATGAGCATGATCATGATGTTGATGATATGGTGAGGGTGAGGATGATAATGATGATGATGAGGAAGATGATGACGAGGGTGACGAGAATGATGAGGATAATGGTGGTGGATATGATAATGATGATGCTGATGATGTTGACGATGTTGATGATGATGGCGATTTTGATGATTATAGTGGTGATGATGCTGATGCTGGTGGTGGTTATGATGATGGTGCTGCTGATGATAGTGATGATGATGATGATGCCGGTGGTGGTGGTGATGCTGTGGATGATGATGATGATGATGGTGATGATGATGGGGAGATTCATGATGACGACGCTGATGGTGACGACGCGGCGGCGGCGGGGCCGACGACGACGATGATTATGCTGATGATGATGGTGATGATGATCATGATGATAATGATGCTTATAGTGAAGGCTATGGCGATGATGAGGAGATGATGGTGGCATCCGGGATGCTGTCACTGAAAACGAAGATGATGATGGCATAGGAGTGCGATGATGATTATGATGCCGATGGTGAAAATGTTTATGGTCACGATGAGGGTGATGATGAGGATGTTGATGATGAAGATGATGACAACGACGACAACGATAATGATGATGATTATGTTGGTGATGGTGGTGATGATGATGCTGATGATGTTAATGATGATGATGACGGTGATGGTGAGTGCGATGATGACGATGATGATGGCTCATGGTGATGGTAGAAATGATGATGCTGATCTCAGTGATGATGATGATGATGATGACAGTGGTGGTGGTGATGATATTGATGATGATGGTCATGGTGATGATAATGATGATGATTGGAATTTTGATGATGACAATGTTGATGATGATGATGACGCGGCGGCGGAGGCGGCGCGATGGTGACGATCGGGACGCTGACACTGATGACGAAGATGAGGGTGATGATGAAAATGAGTACAATGACAAGGATGATGGCGACGATGATGGTGATGATGATGCGTATGCTTATGGTCATGATGATGGTGATGGTGAGGATGAAGGTTAACAGTGATGATGACGACGATGCTTATGCTAATGATGGTGATGGTGGTGATGATGATGCTGATGACAGTGATGATGCTGATGACGGTGGTGGTAGGGATGAGTTTGATTATGATGGTGATGATGATGATGATGACGGTGGTGGTGGTGGTGATATTGATGATGATGACGATGATGGTGATGTCAATGGTGATGATCATGATGGGGATGTTGATGATGGCCGTGCTGATAATGATGACGCAGCTGCGGCGGCGGCGACGATAGTGCTGCTGATGATGATTGTGATGATGGCGATGATGATGATGATGATGATGATGATGATGATGATGATGATGATGATGATGATGGTAACAATCGGGATGCTGACACTGATGACGAAGATGAGGATGATGCTGAAAATGCTGATGATGACTATGATGATGACGACGACGATGCTGAGAATGATGATATTGGTGATGATGATGATGATGATGATGATGATGATGATGGTGACATTCGGGATGCTGACACTAATGACGAAGATGAGGATGATGATGATCATGATGATGATGATGACAATGATGATGACGACGACGATGATGAGTATGATGAGTACAATGAGGATGATGATGCTGATGATAATGACGATGATGATGATGATGACGATGATGATGATGATGGTGATGATGTGGGTGTGCTTCTGAGAGTGTGCGCGGTAATGAGTGTGGCGAGTGTAAGAGGGAAGTGAATAGGAGAGGGGGTGAGGGGTGTTCCACCGCGGGGGTATCTAGAGGAGCATATAGCCCCACTTTGGTTGTGGGAAACAAAAAACACGAAACCTCGAACAAGAGGAGGATGCGATATAGGAATGTGTAAACGTCGGTCGGAAAAAGTAGGTAGACACATGAAGTAGGAAGGCGGATATAGTGGATTGGGTCCAGGCCCTCCCAGAGAATAACAAAACACAGCAACAGCATGCCGACTCTTGAAGTAGGAAGGCGCTTGAAGTAGATTAGGATCTGGGAATCCAAAAATACCTGCTTTCAATGACCGGCGTGTACGTACCATCCGCCTCAGGAACCGATCTCCCAGGATCCCAGGGGGCTGCTGATCTGGATGTAGTTGGGCCCCAAGGTCCCGATGTGGTCGTCCCATTGATGTCATCAGTGCCCACCGCCGCCACGGGGTCCACCGAGATCGGCTCCCCAAGCGATGCAGATGTATCAATTCAGGGCTCGGACTTGGGGGAGGGGCGAGACAGAAGTCAAAAGGAGAAGCTCCCTGCCCCCTGGCGAGCCAGCCTCCCAGTCGAAGCCGCTCCAGCCGGCCTCGTTCTCGCCCTCGGCCTCCTCGCTCTCGCTGCCGCCACCGCCCTCTGGCGGAATGGGCGGGTGCGTGCCTGCAGCGGGGGGGGGAGGGGAGGGGGGAAGAGGGGGGGGAGCAAAGGGAGTGCGGGGAGGCAGAGAGGTGGGAGGCAGGAGGGTGGGGTGGGGGGAAGCGGAGGAGAAGAGGCGACGGGAAGGGAAGAGGGGAAGAAGAGAGTGGAGGGCAGGATACGGGTACGGATGGGGATCCCCTTGCGCGGTGCAGATGACGGGGGCTGGGGGGAGCATCGCGCCGTGGCACGGAGGAGAGCGCCCACCTTCTTCATCCACCGCCATAGTCCACCCTCTTAAACCACATTCTGAAAGGGGAGAGGACGGGGGAAGCGAGGAGGGAGGAGGAGGACGATCGACGACCCCAAGGCTTCCCGGGACGGCTCATGTACCGCCCAGGGGACGCTAAGACGGTCCCGACCATGAAGCCCCAAGAACGCTCCAGAGGTCCCCGAAGGCCATCGAAGGCTCTCAAACGGCCTCACGGCAGGCTCAAATGTTCAACCACGAGCGCATCGAAGCCATACTCCCGAACACTCACTGAATCGTGGATGTGCGCGCGAGATCATAGTAACTTGGCGCGAATATTCAAGGACGTGTTTCCACATTCGGTGCTTGCGCTGAAGGGGTCCCAGCAGAAATCGAAGGGTTTGACAAACATACCAAGCTGATGTCAACGAACGGATGGGTTAACGGTTCCTGGATCCGGGCCGATTTCGGTGTCTGGGTTCACAGGTTCCCTGCTCCATGTCCAAGGTTCCAAGATCGAGAGACCAGAGCTGAGCAGAGAGTACATATCAGCGAGTAGAAGGGGGAGAGGGAGTACTGACTACGACAGCCTGCTTGAAAGAACATAAAATTCAGAGTAGAGAATACGAAGCATAGGATCTAACACACCCGAGTTGAGGACATATACAGTGACATCTATACAGATATCCATTATAGATATGCGTGTGCCTAAACATATGCGCAGTCCCCCCAACACCCATTGACTTCCCATGGGTGATTCGCGCTGCTCGCGTTTGCTGTACTCTCCGTTCTCACTGCCCATGCTCTGACTCATGCTGTTGCTCCTATTGTCCGATATTCCCCAACGCCCTCCTGAACGCATTTCGGTCCGCTCACATCGGGATCCACCAAAGAGGGGTGACCCTGAGGGAGGGCATGCATTCGATCCGCTGATGCACCGAACTGCCGCAAACAGATGCCCCCCGCATGCCCCACCTATCGGCAACTATCGGGAGCTGCCGCCGACTGGGGGGCATCTGTTTTGGGCGGTTCGGTGCAAAGACCGATCGAACTCAAACCCCTCCTGGGGCACACCCCCCTTAGCGGGATCCCGATCACACCACTGTTCCCCCTCATCATATCGCCCCTCCTTCTCATCTCCACTCTCGTCCCGGATCTCTCTACCTATCCCATCACTTTAGCCTCCTTTTTGTCCTTCCTCCGTCTCTGACTCCAACCATCCTCTAGTCCTCATCGCGCGCATCCCCACATTGCTTTCCCTCACCTCATCCATCCCCTTTCCTTCTTTTTCCCTCCTACGTTGTCCTCAAGAATTCGCGGGTTCCCTTAAGAATTCGCAAGAGCGAGCGCGCAGATCTTTCTGACAACAGATTTTGCCAAACCACGCGTTGCTGTGTATGTTTTCGGGACACTCGATGTTGAAATCCTTACGACACCAAAAAGGTTTTCGAGGGATGTCGGCATGCACGGGCGACCACGCGCGAGCGCGTACTTCATCATATTTGTTGCAAGGGGCTCTTGCGACAACATGCGCGCAAGGACGTCCGAATGATTTCGACACGCGCACGCGAGAGACCCGTGTGGCATCATTGAATGAAAATCTTGAAGAGCCGATGGTTTTCTTAAGAACTTGCAATACGTGGGCGCCGGATTGTTTGGACATCCCAGCTGCTACCATGCGCTGTTGTATAAGCTTCGGGACGCTCCATGCCGAAATCCATGCGACACCTACCTGAAGTTTTTCCCGTATGAGTCTTGCCTGAAGGGTTCTTACTTGGTTTTTGACATGTTAATGCCTAGTATTCTTACTGCGCCCGTTCCTCCGAGGTTCCTCGGGTTCTCCGGGTTCCTCGGGTTCCCCGCCTCCCGTGCCTCGTATTCTTACGTTGCCCGTTCCTCGGAGGATTCTTGGGTTCCCCGGGTTCCTCGGCTTCCCCGCCTCCGGTTGCCCGTTGCCCCCCCCCCAAAAAAACACACACACACACACGCGTACACACGTACACACGTACACACGTACATACGTACATACGTACATACGTACATACGTACATACATACATACATACATACATACATACATACATACATACGTACATACATACATACATGCATACATGCATACATACATACATACATACATACATACATACATACATACATACACACACATACATACGTACATAGGTAGATACATACATGCATACATACATACATACATACATACATGCATGCATGCATGCATGCATGCATACATACATACATACCTAACTGCATGCATGCATGCACGCACGCACGCATGCACGCACGCACGCACGCACGCACGCACATACATACATGCATACATACATACATGTACATCTGTGTTTCTTCCTCGGGTTCCCGGGTACGCGGTCTTGTTCTTTGCTTGGTTCCTCAAGGCCCATACGTATTTGTTGCTTGGTTCTGCGGGTTCCCTAATGTTGTTCCTCGGGTTCCCCGGTTCCCCTGGTCTTGGGACTTGCTTGGGTTCCCTGGGTTCCCAAATCTTGTTCCACATTCCTGGGGGCATAGAGCAATGCCAAGCAATGCCGAGCAATGCCAAGCAATGCAACGCCATGCCAATCCATGCGGAACCAAGCAACGGAACGCCAAGCAGTGCGAAACAATACCAAGCAATGCCAAGCAATATCAAGCGATGCGAAGCCACGCAAAGCAACGCAGCAATGCCAAGCAATGCCAATCAATGCGCCCATGCATTAGGAAACTTTCTCCTGATGTGGGTCGCGCCAGGTTCATTGAAGGATTCCAGCATGCGCGCGCGACGACGCGCGCGTGCGCACTTCGTGGTATTGTTAACCATAAGTTGTACGGGGATCATGAGACATTATAATTTGAAAAACACAATTGTGTGCGCATTTTTTGCAGAGAATTAAGGGGACCGATAAGGGACTGCCATACGAAGGACGAGCGTGCATATTCACATGCGAGCACCATTACGACAAAGTGGCCTGTTCAGTCCGGGGGCGATAGATCCGAATCCATGTGCTGGAAAGAAGCTCTATGCTATCCAATATATGATGTGCAATATATGCCGTACCATAAATGTTGTCCGATAGATGTGGTGCAATCTATGGTGTGCAACTGGTTCTTACCAATGATTTGCCACATCCCTCGCTCTTGCAAACATCCCACCCACCCACCCACCCGCAACTTGGTTTGCAAAACCTCTTAAGACCGACTACGACGACACCGACGGCAACGACTACGACGACACCGGCGTCTCCGACGACTTCGACGACGACGACGCCGACGACGACGACGAAGATGACGACGACGTCGCCAACGAGGGAGGAGGGAGGACGACGACGGCGACAACGACGACAACGACGACAACGACGAGGGAGGAGGGAGGACGGCGACGACGCGAATGACGAAGAAGGAGGACGGCGACGCCGACGACGACAACGACGAGGGAGGAGGGAAGGCGAAAACGACGACAACGACGACAACGACGACGACGGCGACGAAATAGGAGGGACGACGACGAGACGCCGACGACGGACGACGACGACGACGACGAGGGAGGAGGAGGAAGGACGACCACGGCGACAACGACGACGGAAACGACCACGACGCCAAAGAGGACGACGACGACGAACACGAGGAAAGACAGAGGACGACGTAGGCGACGACGACGACGACGACGACGACGACGCGGGAGGAGGGAGGACGGCGACGACGACAACGACGACGATGCAAGAGCGCGCGCGCACCCTTTTGTTGAAAATCCGTGTTGCGAAACCTCGTGTTTTTGTAGGTTTTTGGGAAGCACGATTTTGACATCCTTCCGAAACCGATGGGTTTTGAAGGATTCCGGCATACGCGCGCGACGACGCGCGCGTCTGCACTTCGTTCCATTCTTTGCAGAGGATTCTCGCGACGGCACGCGCGCAAGGGCGTTCGACAGATTTTGACATGCGCGCGCGCGAAGCCCGTTTGGTAGCAGTTTGTGAAAATCTTGAAACACCTACGGTTTTCTGAAGGTTCCGCAAGAGCTCGCGCGTAAGCTTTTTTAGCAAATCAGTGTTGCGAAACCATGTTTTTTGTATGTTTTTGGGAAACTCGATTGCGAAATCCTGCCGACACCGAATGTTCTTGAAGGATTTCGGCATGCGCGCGCGACGACGAGCGCGTGTGCACTTCGTCCCATGTTTTGCAAGGCATTCGTGAACAAATCTTATGTTAGAACAAAAGATGGTCCCGCGGATCGTTTTTTTACAAGGGAACCTCAGGGGGGCCGATACCGGTTCCCCAGGGATAGTGTAAATTCATATTTAGGATGGACATGTGGTCATAATCGTATATGATTTACATACCCGAGAGGGGGGCGGCGAACGCCGCGGGGGGGGTAGAGTCTATTCTCTTTTTAGAAAAGAGAATATCTGTGGTGCAATCTATGTTGTGAGCTAAAATTCGCGCTGCAGGCGCGATGTTTCCGCGCACTCTACGAGGTGCAATCCATCGGCGGCGACGCGCAACGACAAGGCTGCGGCGAGGCGGCAACGTCGGCCACATAGCCGCCAGACCGAAGACAAGGCCCAGACGACGGGCGGCGTCGAGGCGGCGACCGGGCGGCGACGGCCCAGTTCCGTAGGACAGAAGCAGGAGCCCCTAAGTGCAAGCACGATGTAGGGAAAATAGTGAGGAGGGAGAGAGAGAGAGAGAGAGAGAGAGAGAGAGAGAACGAGAAAGAAAGAAAGAAATTGAACGAGTAATGAACCCCGTGCGACCCCAATAAGAGGAGAGCTTGCTATGATATGGGCGCAGTGCTTGGCATTGCTTGGCTTGGCACTGCTTGGCATTGCTTTGCACCTCTTGACATCCCTTGGCATTGCTTTTCATTGCTTGGCATTGTTTGGAACGGACACAATAAGAGTGCGAGGCACGGGGGGGGAAACACAGGGAACCCGAAGAACCAAGGGAACCCGGGGAACTTGGGGAACCCGCAGAACAAGGGGACCCAGGGAACCCGGGGAACCCGAGGAACCCAAGGAACTCGAAGAACCTCTTGGAAGCGGGCAACGTAAGAGTAGGAGGCACCGGGAGCGGGGAACCCGGGGAACGAACGGGCAAAGTAAGCCCCCGAGGCACCAACCTTCAACCAAGTATTAGGCAAGCCTAATTGGGGACACAGAGCGTAGAAAGAGAGAGAGAGAGAGAGACACACACAGAGCACAGAGAGCGAGAGCGAGAAAGACTAGACAGAGTAGAGATTTGTCACAGGGGTATTTCTGGGAGCTGTCTCGTATCTGCGAAAAGTTCAACCGATTATCCTGATTGGGGTCTGATGTAACCATGGTTGAACTTTGGACACGGCTGATCCTGAACACAATCACACCTCCTGGGCGCAATCGAAGGCGCAATCGAACATCCTGTCCAATACCCAACTGAAGCTCAAGGGCGACCAAGACGGCCCCAAAGGCCCAAAACGTGAAGCCACGAACGTGTCCAGGCCATGTCCCAAAGCACGAACTGATTCGTAGATTTGCGTGCTCACGTCCCCCTAGGGTCGCGCTGGGACTCCCGTCCAGCGGTCTCCCCTCGGCATAAACCAAAAGAGAAGGGTCCTGGTTGACGGCTCTAAGACCAGGACCATGGCGACCATGGGGCTTTCCCCACGAACAGTTTCCCATCCCGAGCAGCTGCGCACGGTCCCCAGCAAGGGCCCCGAGAGGCCGAAGAGGCCCAAGACTTCAGAACTCCTTTTCCTCAGGACCCCCTTCGGGGCGTTGGCAAAACTGGGTTTAACGGGACCTGGTTTAATGATCTGTACCAGGGACATCCCCCCGTCCCATGCCACTAACCAGAATTGCCGTCACCCGGAAAACACCAACTACGGCAGACTTGGTTTAGTGACTCTGGCTCATTCAGGGGCTCCAGGGCCATACTGCTAACCGGGCCCCCTTACCTGGGGTCCTGGCTACACCCGAGCCTTTCTGTTATGCCGATCTACTTTGGCCCTCCCCTTCGGGCCGGGGGCTGCCAGAGGTGTTCCTGGCCCAAGGCGTCCCCAACTCTCCTGCTCACGTGGGAGCCCGCGGGGGCCCCCCAAGGGCCTCGTGAGGGGTGCGTCGGAGACCCCCTGGGCCTCCCTGGGCCAGGGGGGGGGCATTGGCCCCTGGCCCAAGGAGGTCCCGTCCTGTCACCTCCGACTCTCTTGATGGGGATGCAGAGGAGCCGCCGGCACTCGCAGCCCGACAGTCATCGCGCTACACTTAAGTCGGGCCTGTCCTCCTACAGGGGAAAAAAACTTACAAAATCGTCCCCATCTGATTTGTTTTACTATTTTTGAATATTCCCCCTGTAGAGGGACAGGCCCGACTGAAGGCTACATACACTTTAGGAGCGCCAAGCAAGGAACGAAGGGGCCCTTTCTGGCCGCTGCGAGCCTCGGCCACGAACAGGCTCCACGACACACACACACACACACACACGCACACACGCACACACACCACAAACACACACACACACACGTACACACGCGCACACACACGCACACACACGCGCACACACACACGCACACACACACACACGCACACACACACACACACACACACACACACACACACACACACACACACACAACACACACACACACACACACACACACACCAAAACACACACACACACACCACACACACACACGCACACACACACACACGCACACACACACACACGCCGCACACACACGCACACACACACGTACACACGCGCACACACACACGCACACACACACACACACACACACACGCACACGCACGCACACACACGCACACACACACACATACGCACACACACACGCGCACACACACACACGCGCACACACACACACACGCACACACAAACACACGCACACACACACACACGCACACACACACACACGCACACACACACACACACACGCACGCACGCACGCACGCACGCACGCACGCACGCACGCACGCACGACCCCACATATTGACATATTGAATCTAGGGCCTGGGGAGCGGGCCGACAACCACAGCCCCCCCCCCTCCGAACCCGATGCGCTCCCTCCTCCCTCCTCCCTCCTCCCTCCTCCCTCCTCCTCCTCCTCCTCCTCCTCCTCCTCCTCCTCCTCCTCCTCCTCCCTTTTCCTCCTCCTCCTCCTCCTCCTCCTCCCTCCCTCCTCCTCCCTCCTCCTCCCTCCTCCCCCTCCTCCTCCTGGCGGGGCGGCAGCGCCGACGCAGACGACCCGGACGCGATAGGCGCCCTCGTCGCGGAACGCGAGGCACGGCGTGAGCCGCCTGCCCTGCGGCGCGCCGTCCGGGGGGGGGGCGCGGCGAGAGGTGGCGCGGCGGGAGCACCGACGACGACGACGCCGACGACGACAACGACGACACAGACGACAGCGCCGACGTCAACGACGCCGACGACGACGACGACGACGACGGCGACGACGACGACGCCAACTACTCGGGCTGGGAGCACATCGTGCGAGGCGGGGGTTTGTCCATGTCCACCGCCTGGGGGCCGACGCCCCAATGCTGGGGCAACCACCTGCCGAGGCCCCCGAACATCGATCATCCAGGCGGTGGTCATATATATATATATATATATATGTATATATATATATATATATATATATATATATAGCGCAGCGGCAACGGCTTCCGGAAATCCATCCGACCGATAAACCGATCAACCGATAAAAACTAATCGGTTGAACGGTTTGCAAACCGATCAACCGAAAAACCGATATAATTTGATCGGTTTATCGGTGGATCGGTCGCTCAACCGAAAAACCGATAATCTTCGTATGCGAACATAGAGGCGATTGCTGGCGCGCCCCCCTCTCTCTTCGTCGGTTTATCGGTTTATCGGTTTATCGGTTCATCGGTTGACTGGCTGGTCTGAGACCGCTGGGGGGGAACCTGTGGAGGCGATCCTTGTGCCGCATATCGGTTTATCGGTTTATCGGGTGGTTGTCAGTCCCCCGCCACGACGACGACGGCGACGGCGACGGCGTGAGTTTTGTGTTTGGCTCTGGCGCGGACGGCGCACCCCGCTCTGGGGCGGCTCGGCTTGATCAGCCTGAGTCTCTGGTGCGGACGGAGTCCCGCAGGGGTCCGAGCATCTCCCGCCGCGCGCGATGCTTTGCGCGGGTAGTGCAGGGCCTGCGAGGGTCTCAGGCGACAGTGGCCGAACCAACTTGGGGCAGGGCATATGCGAGGTCGTTGTCTCAGACGAAAGTGGCCTGAAGAGGTCAGCTATAGGCGTCTCGGAAGCCGCTGTTGCGAGGATGTCGCAGGCGAAAGTGGTCGGACCGCCATGGGGTAGGGCACCTCCGAAGTCAGAAGTGCGAGGGCGCCCCGGGCGAAAGTTGTCTGAACATCGCATCCCGGGGCAGATCGGGGGTCAGACTATTTCAAGGCTGGGCACATCCCCCCCAGGTGAACGAGGCGAGTTTTTGCGCGGGCGGAAATGGCCAGCACAATTTGGGGCAGGGCATATCAGAGGTCAGCGTTGCGAGGATGTCTCAAGATGAGGAAGAGGAAGGTCATGCTGATGATAATGATGGCGATGGCGGCAGCCGCGCGGGAGGCAGAATCTGGCGGGGCAAATTCGGTGGGGAGCAAAATCTGGCACGCCATTTTGCGTCGGTCTGGATCACATTGCACGAAAGGACGGACGGCGATCGGCTCCAGGAGTAGAGCCTCGACAAGACTCCACGAGGAGCAGAGCCCCGACAAGACTCCGCGAGAGGGGATGGAGAAGGAGGAAAGGGGGGAGGAGAGGGGAAATGCGAAACCCCTAAAGCGCAAAGAACGCACTCCCACCTTGGGCCAGATAACGGGAATGTGGCAAGCGCTTGCTAGAATCCATGCCCATGTTGGTCATGAATTGCGCCGCGTCCGTCAAAGCCTTCGTCTCGAACAGCGAGTCGATGAACGCGGCGCAGAGGAACAGCGCGCCGACGCTGCAACCCTCGGGCCCCATCCACGCACCTTTGAAGGAGCTCCAACCGCAAGTGTAGCAAGCCCCGCTGATGTGGGGCTCGGGCACGAAGGCTTGCCCCATCCGGAGGTAGTACTGTTTCAGTTTATCCCCCGCTATCTTCACATCGGCGCGAAGGGCAACAGGCAATCCTTGAGCAACAAACTGAACTGGCGCACGGTTGGGATCAAGGCCCAACCACTGCGGCTCAACCGCGAGCGCAGAGGAAGCGCTGACACAATCCCTCACATGGGTGGCCCAGCATGGCTTCCCGACTCGCCGGTCGCACAAAGAGCAGACGATGACGCCCCGTTGGTTTAAAGGCCCGGGTGGTTTATCACGCGGGCCGCCGCGCATGGCTGAGAGTTGCGCCAGGATCCGCAATGTGTCACGCGACGCCAGCAGCTTTCGCCGCAGCTCGCGCTACAGTGATAACCTGATACGGCTAGGACCGAGGGGGAAAGGAGAAGGAGGATGGGGGAGGAGGAGAGGGGAAATGCGACCCCCCCAAAGCCCAGAGAAGGAGAGGAAGGGGGAGCTGGAGGCACCCCCGCCAAAGCGCCGTAGAAACCGAAAACGTCCTAGCCCGAAATGCCCCGCCAGATGTTGCTTCCCACAAACCCCGCCCTCCCCCCGCCACTCCTCCCTCCATCCCTCCTTCCCAACTCCAATCCCCCCCCCCCGTCCCTATTCCCTCCGCCCCTCCATCCCCTCTTTTCTCAAATGCCCCTTCCCGAATCGAATCCAACCCTCCCTCCCTCCATCTCTCCTTCCCGCCCTCCCCCCTTTCCAGTTTTTCTTTCTGGATGGGCCTGGGCGCTGGGCCTGGGAGAGGAGGAGACAGGAAATTCGAAATTTCCCAATCCGAAAAAATGGAGGGGGGGGAGAGAGACGTGGACCCGGGGTGGGGGACCCACGCAGCCTGGCTATCACACCAAATGCCCGCCGCCATGCCCTGGCTTTCGCACCGCGTGCGGGCGGCGAAATGCCCGGCCAGATTTGGCCTCCGTGCCTCTGGGCACGGAGCGGGCGCGCCCTCAGGTCCTTCGCCCAATCCCCCGGGCCTCAGGAGGAGGGAGGAGGAAGGAAGGGGGGAAGGAAGAAGAGGATAGGGGGAAGATGAAGGGGACGGGGGATGAACGTGGGGGAACAGGAGGAGGAGGAGGGGGAGGAGGAGGAGGAGGAGGAGAAAGCAGACGGAGCCAATCGCCACCAGTCCAATGCCAGACGGTCGGGGGCAGCTCTCACCGCGCGCTCCACGGCGCGGGCAGCTCGCGCCGCTGTGCGAGAATCAAAGGCAGCTCTCGCCGCCCAGGACCCCCCCGTCGCCGCGCTTGCAGCTCTCGCCGCTCAACAGCGCCCGCGCGCACCAGCGAGACGGCGCAGCTCTCACCGCGCAAACCGCCTTAAAAATGCCCCGGCCGCTCGCACGAGCGACGGGCGGGGGCAGCTCCCGCCGCCGGACCGCTCGCGCCGCTGAGCGAGGATCGAAGGCAGCTCTCGCAGCCCAGGACGCCCCCGTCGCCGCGCCGGCGGCCCCCGCCGCCGGACCGCGCCCGAACCCGCGGGCATGGCTGCGCGCAGCCCCCGCCAAGCGGCCGGGGTCGGAGCCGAGTCGCCGCTTTGTCGCCGAATGCAATAAAGCTTATCCAAGTCCACTTGTCGCCGCCCACGCGCGGCGGCGCCCAGATGCCGAACTCTTCCGATGGCGAGAAAACTACGATGAGGCCGCCGAGGATTCGGAACGACCTGCGCCCGAGCACAAAGCGCACCTGGGAACTCACAGGCGTTCTGTCAGACTGGTACAGCGCAGCCACTGCGAACTTGAACACGAATCGCAATTTGCGCAAGCAGCAATGTTCGCACGACGCACACCCGCGGCTAGAGCAGGTCGCTCACTGCGTCGTACATGCGGAGTGCGCCCACCAGTGTCTGGAAGAAGTCACGGCCGGTGGCACGTGGACCACGCGCGGCTCACCGGGCGCCGGCCGCTTGGAATGGCAGTAATTCTCACCCCGCTGCACGAACGCACTCCCACCTTGGGCCAGATAGCGGGACTGTGGCAAGCGCTTGTTAGAATCCATGCCCATGTTGGTCATGAATTGCGCCGCGTCCGTCAAAGCCTTCGTCTCGAACAGCGAGTCGATGAACGCGGCGCAGAGAAACAGCGCGCCGACGCTGCAACCCTCGGGCCCCACCCACGCACCTTTGAAGGAGCTCCAACCGCAAGTGTAGCTAGCCCCGCTGATGTGGGCGTCGGGCACGAAGGCTTGCCCCATCCGGAGGTAGCACTGTTTCAGTTTATCCCCCGCTATCTTCATATCGGCGCGAAGTGCAACAGGCAGTCCTTGAGCAACAAACTGAACTGGCGCACGGTTGGGATCAAGGCCCAACCACTGCGGCTCAACCGCGAGCGCAGAGGAAGCGCCGACACAATCCCTCACATGGGTGGCCCAGCATGGCTTCCCGACTCGCCAGTCGCACAAAGAGCAGACGATGACGTCCAAAGGCCCGGGTGGTTTATCATACGGGCCGCCGCGCATGGCTGAGAGTTGCGCCCGGATCCGCAATGGGACGCGCGACGCCAGCAGATTTCGCCGCAGCTGGCGCTACAGTGATAACCTGATACGGCTAGGACCGAGGGGGAAAGGAGAAGGAGGATGGGGGAGGAGGAGAGGGGAAATGCGACCCCCCCAAAGCCCAGAGAAGGAGAGGAAGGGGGAGCTGGAGGCACCCCCGCCAAAGCGCTGTAGAAACCGAAAACGTCCTAGCCCGAAATGCCCCGCCAGATTTTGCTTCCCACAAACCCCGCCCTCCCCCCGCCACTCCTCCCTCCATCCCTCCTTCCCAACTCCAATCCCCCTCCCCCATCCCTATTCCCTCCACCCCTCCATCCCCTCTTTTCTCAAATGCCCCTTTCCCGAATCGAATCCAGCCCCCCCTCCCTCCATCTCTCCTTCCCGCCCTCCCCCCTTTCCAGTTTTCCTTTCTGGATGGGCCTGGGCACTGGGCCTGGGAGAGGAGGAGACAGGAAATTCGAAATTCCCCAATCCGAAAGAGGGAGGGGAGGGGAACAAGGGAGGGGAATGGGGGACGGATGTGAGAGCGTGGGCAGGAGGGGAAGAGGGAGGGAGGACGAGCTCCCCAGGAATGGTGGTCAGCTGGAACGCCGAGAAGGGGCTCACGGGGGCCGCGGCCCTGTGCGCGCAGAACCATGGGCGTCGGGGCCAGTGAGGGAGGGAGGGAGGAGAGGGAGGGAGGGAGGATCGGAACGGAGGAGGGAGGAGGAGGAGGAGGAGGGAGGAGGAGGAGGAGGAGGAGGCAGAGGCGGAGGAGGACTAGGAGGAAGAGGAAGGGGAGGCGGAGGAGACTAGGAGGAAGAGGGGGAGGGAGGACTAGGAGAACCATGGGCGTCGGGGCCAGTGAGGGAGGGAAGGAGGAGAGGGAGGGAGGGAGGGAGGATCGGAACGGAGGAGGGAGGAGGAGGAAGAGGGAGGAGGAGGAGGAGGAGGAGGAGGAGGAGGCGGAGGCGGAGGAGGACTAGGAGGAAGAGGAAGGGGAGGACTAGGAGGAAGAGGAGAGAGAATTTCGAAGGATTACCCATTGGACAACCACGACAACGCCGGGCCGATAAACCGATCAACCGATCAACCGATAAACTGAAACATCCGATATACCGATAAACCGATAAACTGATAAAAGCCAAGCTGTGCTGAGATTCGGGCACGCATGCGATGAGCCGGTTTAGTGGTTGATCGGTTTATCGGCAGATCGACCGATAAACCGATATAATCATATCGGTTTATCGGTCGATCTGCCGATAAACCGATCAACCGAAATAGTTTATCGGTTGATCGGTTTATCGGTTTTATGTTCGTGTCCTGCGGCTGTAATAAATATAGATATATATATAGACACATGTATATATATGTGTGTATATATATAGATTCCCGCCCCGGACATCTTGACTCGGGTATTGCTTGGAGGTGTCCCTGGCGCAAGGTGCCCCCAGTCGGCGATGGATCAACCTCCCTTTAGTAAACCTCCCCTTAGTAGTGAAAACGGCCTGGGACCGAAACCGACGGACCTGAACCTGCAAAAATGACGGCCGCGACGCCCTCTCGCGAACCGAAAACGGCCAATTCGCTCATCGACGCGTCAGGGTAGGAGGTCTGTCCACCCCCGAGACATCTTGACTTGGGTCCTGCCTGGATTTGCCCCTGGCCCAGGGTGCCCCCAGGGGGGCGCCAGGGAAGGCCCCCGTGGCCTGTGGAGCACCCCCTCGCGCGGCCCCGAGGGGCCTGGGGCCCTCGCGTCGAGCGGTCAAATGACAGTGGAGGGCTGGATGCTCCGTGCGAGCTCCGCGTGGCAGTCCGGGGGGCGACCTACGGGACCGGAAGGCCATTACCGACGCAGGCGTTTGCTTCCTGGCGGCGTCCGCCGAGCTTGCGGCCACGCCCACCAATGCCACCGGGGGGGCAGCGATGTCGCCGGCCGCCGCGGAGAAGAGGGAGCAGGAGAGGAAGGAAGAATCTGCAGGAGTGGAAGCGACGAGACTGCGGACTGGGGACAACGAGGAAAACTGTGGAGGAAAGGGTGCGGGCGATGCTGAGGAGCAAGATGAAGAGTATCGAAGACGCCGACGGCGTGTCACCACCGTCCCCATGCTATTGAGAGGTGGCCAATGTTATGGAAACGCAGCGCGCGAGTTGGCGATAATCGATGGACCACGCACTCGTCTGTGGTAGGATTCTGAGGGCCCGCCTGGGCATTCTTGGACCTGTCTCGGCACTCATTTGCGGCGGGTCCCTCGCTGGCCATCGCTCGGGCGTCCATTCCCTGTGCTTTTTTCGGTTTCGTGCGTGGTTTTTTCGCCAAATAATCTAGAATGCTCCTCAAGGGTCCTCGCCGAGAAAAAAATACACACGTCCGAGCGATGCCAGGCTCGTGGGAAGTCTTGGGGCATCCTGGAGCCCTCTTGGGCCGTCTTGGGGCCCTCTTGGGCTGTCTTGGGTCTTGGGGCCTGTCTGGGCCGCTCTGGACCCCTCTTGGAACTGGAGACCTCCGCGGGGCAATGTGGGGCCTTATGGGGCCGATTCTGAAAAAGCCTAGTGGGTCGTCTTGGACGCTCTTGAAACCGAAGATGCTACAACCTTCCAACATCCTGGCAGAACCAACACGAAACTCAAGGAGTTGGGCCTCCGATGGGGGCTTCGTGGGAGCCTTCCTGCACCGCACTTGGGGCGTCTCGGGGGCCTGCGCGGCAGCATCAGAGTCCCTCGTTAGGCAGATCTCGGGCCGCGCGGAGGCGATCTTGCGGTCGAAGTCCTGGTCAAAGGCCCAGGGCACCCATTATTGTGGTCGAGAGCAGCCCTGGGGCCTCTGGTCCCCGCCCCCCGCCAGATGCACGCGCGCCACAAGTCATGACGGCACAATAATTAGCGGACCGTGGGGGCAGACGTGGGGCGCCCTGCGAAGGCGGCAATCCCTCTCCACATGCACAACGCCACAGTTGAATGATGCTGCTGCACCGGCAATCCTTCTTTGATTGGAGGCCCGGGAGTGGGCACCGGCACCAACACAGGGGGCTCGGCGCTGGTGGAAACATCTCGGCCACCTGGGCAGCCCGAACATTGCCACCATCACCGAGATCGGCATCGTCTTCCCTCGGTGGAATCACACCGCCGACGTTGGTGTCGGCGCCGACCTCCACGCCTCCGACTCGATGGCACCCGCCTGCAAATCCTCACGAAGAAGCCTCTCCAGCTCGGGCGGCCCAGGCGGAGCTGACACGCGCGCGCGGGGGCCTCGGCCCACCCGAGGTCGGACACGAAGCCGGTGCTCTCCCACGGGCCGAGCTCCAGGGAGCGGCCTGCGAGGCGCGCGCGCCAACACGGGGGGGCCCGAAGGGGCCCCGCTGGGACCGAGCAGAGAGCAGGGGCCCACCCTGCAGGCTCGGTTGAACAGCACATCGCTGAGCGGTGCCGAAGCCTCCCCTGAGCACAGGCGCCCCCCCCGGAGCTCGGCGGCAAGCTCGGCTTCTGAGAAGTTTCCGGAGCCTTCCCCGCAGACGCACAGAACTTCTCAGAAGGCCTGCGGCCTTCTGAGAAGCCCCGCCGCCTTCTGAGAAGGCCTTCTCCTTCTCACTTCCCCCCCTCTCGGGAGCGGCCAAGAGGGGGGTGTCCAAGAGAGGGGGGTGCAAATCATGACCGGCGGCATGTGCGCGCGCGGCCCAGCGGGGGGGCCAGGGACGTAATGAAATAAGAAGAGGCGCCATGAAATCTGGGGAAATATCATGGCCCACGCCATGATATCCCCCCCCCCCTAGTCATCACCCCCCTCTTTTCCGCCCCCGACCCTCGCTCGCCGCCGAGCGTCAGCCAAACAAGCCGGGCGTGCACCTGCCCTGCTGGGCTCTGGGCGCGCTTCGGCGCCCTCTCCCCCCGCCTCGTCAAGGCCGGCCTGGGGCGGGGCAGGCGGCCGAGCCCGGCGCCGGCCGGCCCCGCGCTTGCCATCGCTCGGACGTCCATTCCACGTGCAGTTGTCGATTTCGTGCGTGTTTTACCTCGATGATCAGAAATGCTCCTCGATGGTCCTCGCCGAGAGAAAAAAGCACGCGTCCGAGCGCTGCCAAGCCCGTCGGCCGCACTCTGCCGCCCGCCCCTTGCCGCTCTCCCCCGGCCTTGCTCGCAGGAGGTCCGCCCGTCCTCCGGGACGGGGGGGGCCTTCGGCCCCCAGCGGTGCTGCGGTCCTCGCACAATGGCTCATGGCCGAACCGTGTGTTGCCTTCACAGCATGCACAAGATAGGCGGTTCGCGTGCTTCTGAAAGCACCACAAGTGGGATGGACCATTCACTCTCGACTAAGCGTGGCGTCTCTTGCAGGCTGCAATACGGATCGAGTGGCACATCAAAATCTGACCCCCTCTTCTCCCCCCCTCTCCCGCATCAACTTGCTCCTCCTGCTCAACACCGCTGCGCGGTGTGCTGTTAACCGAGCCTGCAGGATTCGCCCTGTCCTCTCCCGTGCACTTCAGCTTTCGCCTCGGCTGCGGGGTGCACTTCGAAACGCCTTCTGGCCAACTCACCCGAGTCGACTTTCCTCCCCCTCCTAAGGAGGAGTAACAAAGTACCATGCCTTCAGCACGAAGTGGAATGCCCCAAGGTTCATGCAAGTGTACGAGCAGGGCGGATGGGAAGGTTGTCAGGAGCCCAGACCACGATTTTCCTTAAATTTTCGGGCGCTCCTGGGTTGTGTCGCGTCGGCATCTGGGATGAACCCGACGAACCTGCAATGATCTCCCGTGAAGCGCTCAAGCCTGTCCCAGAGAGCGCCGAGACGGCCCATGACGGCCCAATGACAAGCCACGATGGACCCAAGACGGCCGAAGCAATCCCCGATGCGCCCCAATACGCCTCAAGAAGCCAAATCATTGATATATACTTTTGTTGCTTTACCAAATTAAACGTTCTCGCCTGCTCGGAATACCGACGCTCCAGGACTTCTCCAGAATCGCCACCAGACGACACAATGGGCCCCGAAGAAGCCCAAAGATGGCCCCCAAGACGGGACATGTCGGCCCAAGAAGAACCCCAAAGAGGCGCAAAAGGGAACACGAACTGAAATTTCAAGCTCTTCGCGTCAACATGATCCCCGAGACCGTCAGACGGCCCCAATGAGGCCCAGGGGAGGCCCCCCAAAGGCCCCCGAGATGCCACCAGGATGCCCCCTGAGTTCCCCAGAGGTCAGCACGAGGCCTCCAATATGCATCCACGACCCAGCCATTAGTTCCGACATGAAAGTCGTTCCAACTCTCCCTCAAAGTCAATGAGGATTGGAAGGCGCCCCTGCTGTCGGGCACCGACTGAGCGCCGGCCGAGGCACGCCGTCTAACTCGGCGTTGGCCTCCTGCTGCACCCCGTCTAGCTCGGCGCGGCTGCGGAAATAACATCAACACTTCTTAATCCTACATCCCCCCGTTATCATCAACATAATCACCATCACCAGCACCATCATCATCATCATCATCATCATCATCATCATCATCATCATCATCATCATCATCATCATCATCACCATCACCATCACCATCACCATCACCATCACCATCATCATCATCATCATCATCATCATCATCAGCATCAGCATCAGCATCAGCATCATCATCATCAATATCAGTATCGTCCTCATCGTCATAATCATCATCGTCGTCATCATCGTCATCACCTCGCCCCCGCCCAACCGCTAGCTTCGAACATGATTCGGGCGCGACCGCGACGGCCGCAGCCCTCGTCGGCGCCGGGCGGGATGGCGCCTCCCGCCATGCAGGAGGCCGCCCCCGCCGCCGCCCCCGCCGGTCGCGAAACATGGCGCCGTCCCGCGGCAACCTTCGCACCCGCCGCCGCGAGCGCTGGCAGTCGCTGCGCCGACGACCGCCCCCGCCGAGCAGACGCCGCCCCCGCATCCGCTCCCGCGTCCTCCCTGCGTCCCCTCCCGCGGCCGCCCGAGGCTGCGCCCGAGGCCTTCGTCGAGGCGGGCCCTGCGGAGGCCGCGCCCGCGCCCGCGGGCGTTCTCGAGGAGAAGGCGGCGTCGGCCTTCGCCAAGGCGCTCGCGTCGCGCGACGCAGGGGCGGCCTTCGCCAATGCGGCCCCTGCGGAGGCCGCGCCCGCGCCGGTTTCGGGCGCCGCGGTGGCCAAACCCGCGGGCGCATCGGCTGCGGCCCTCGCGGGCGCGGACGCTGGACGCGCGCGAGCGGCCGCCGAGGCGGCCGCCATGGCGCCCGTGGAGTGCGCGGGGTGGGCGGCGTCAACGGTCGTCGCGGCCAAGGCCGCTGCGGAGTGCCGCGGCTGCGCGCGCGAGTTCGACCGCGCCACCGCCCAGGTGGAAGTGGCCCTGGCGGCGGCCTACGGCCTGTCGTCGGCGGCCAGGGCGGCCGCTAGCGACGCGCACTTGCACGCCGCAGAGGCGGCCCTGCAGGGAGAGCGCGAGTTTCTCGCGCGGCACGTCGCGGAGAGCGGCGGGCGGCGGCCGCAGCCGCAGCCGCAGCCGCTCCACGCCACTGTAAGGAGCTCTGGGATTCGAGCTGCCCCCCTCCTCCTCCTCCTCCACCACCACCGCCACCAACATCACCACCATCACCATCACCATCACCATGACCATGACCATCACCATCATCATCATCATCATCATCATCATCATCATCATCATCATCATCATCATCATCATCATCATCATCATCATCGTCATCATCATCATCATCATCATCATCATCATCATCATCAGCATCAGCAGCATCAGCAGCATCAGCAGCAGCAGCATCAGCATCAGCATCAACATCATCATCATCATCATCATCATCAGCATCAGCATCAACATCAACATCATCATCATCATCATCATCATCATCATCATCATCATCATCGTCATCGTAATCGTCACCGTAATCGTCATCGTCATCGTCATCGTCATCGTCATCATCATCATCATCATCATCATCATCATAATCATAAGCATGATCATGATCATCCTCGTCATCACCAGCAGCAGCAGTATCATCATAACATAATCATCAGCATCGCCATCATCATCAGCATCATCATCACGATCATAATCATCATAATCATCATCAGTATCAGCATCGTCGTCATCATCATCATCACCACCATCGCCATCATCATCATCAGCAGCCTCATCATCAGTGTCATCATCACCACGAGCATCATCATCATCAGCAGCATGATGATGGTGATCATCATCACTATCGTCATCAGCATCAGCATCATCCTCTTCCTCTTCCTCATCATCATCATCGTCCTCGTTCACATCCCCCTCATCATCATGATCATCATGGTCATCATCATCATCATCGTTGTCATCATTATCAGCATCATCACCACCATCATCATCAACATCGTCACCACGATCATCATCATCATCACCATCATCAGCAGCAGCATGATGATGGTGATCATCATCATTATCATCAGTATCATCAGCAGCATCAACATCATCATAATCAGCAACAGCAGCAACATCCGCATCCTCATCATCAGCATTATCAGTATCCTCATCCTCTGAACCACATTCATCATCACCATCATCATGAGCATCAGCATCATCACCAGCATCATCATCACCATGGTCACCAGCATCATCATCCTCACCACCACCATCACTATCACTATCACCATCATCATCGTCATCATCATCGTCATCATCATCAGCATCATCATCATCATCATCATGATCTGCATCTGCATCATCATCATCATCCTCAACGCATGCATCATCCTATCCTCATCACCAACGTCATCATTACCATAATCATCACCTACATCATCATCGCCGCCCGCTTCGTCATCACACTTCTCCTCGTCCTCTTCACGCTCTTGATCATCCACCTCCCTCCAATTCCGCCTGTTCAGCCTCCCTCTTACAACCCCTTCAAGGCCGGAGGCTGCTCTGAGTGAAGAAAAAAAAAAAAACTGAAAAAAAAAAAAAAAAAAATGAAAAAAACAAAAAGAAAAAGAACGAAAAAAGGAAAAGGAGTGGGGGGCACCCGTCCCGCAGAAAAATAGAAAAAAAAAACTAATAAAGAAAAAAGCAACAATAAAGTAAGCCACGAGAAAAGCAAACAAAACTAAAGAAAATCTAACAAAAATGAAAAATAAACAAGACCAAATAAAAATAACAAAAGGAACAACAAACCACAAAAAAACAGTGAACGACAAAAAAAAAAGAAGGAGATAGAGGAACCAAAAAACAAACCAAAAAAAAAAGAGAAAAAGAACTAGCGGGCTGGAACCCGCGTAGACCGTCTGAACAGGCTAACTTCTGGAAATTATTTCTCTGCTACAAATCAACTTGCACTTGAGCAGCAACGTGCGAAGGGAAATTCCAGAAGTCGACCTGCAAACATGAGTAATCGGTCTGTGATCCTAAAAAAACGTGACTCAAGAGGGCCGAAACATATCGGTCCCGCACCCTCCTGGACCCCCCTAGACTCCCACAGACCCTGCGGACCCTGCGGACCCCCGCCGACCCCCCTGACCCCCCCAAACTCTCCCGGACCAACCCGGACCCCCACGGACCCTCAAGATCAAATCCCCCCGGACCCTCCTGGACCTCCACGGACCCCCCCGAACTCCCAGAACAACCCGGACACCCCGGATCACCGCCAGACCCCCTGGAACCCCCCAGAACTCCCCGGACCCGACCCACCCAGGCCCTCCCGAAGCCTCCCTGGCACCTCACCCACACTGCTGCCCGCGGCACGGATAATACCGTGGCCACGCTTCCGCACTCCCTGACTCCATGTACCCCCTGACCCTCGACACCCCTGACCCACCCTAATCGGTGGGTCCCTCCCCCTCCTTGACCTCGCCCCCTTGGCCCTGCAAACTGAATCGGTCGAACCGAACCATTCGAAAAACAAAAGCCGAATCGAACCGCAACCGGACCCAGGCCGAACCGGCCAAAACCGAACTCGTGTCAAACCGAACCCGTCAACTGAAACCGAACCGGGGCGCAAACTGGCCCGAACCGCGGCCACGATCCAAATGAAGAGACGTTCACGGTTTCGGCAACGCAGCGGAAACCGTCATAACGACGACGATGCTGACGGCACCCAGCGCTCGCGGTCGCCTCCAGCAGCCTCGGCGGCTACGACGCCCGGCGCGGCACGGGCGGGGGAGCCGCCGATGTCGGCCGAGATCGCCTGCCGCCGTTTGGACGGGGATCCAGACTCCCCCACCGATCCCAACAGCCCAACTTCCTGAGGCCTCCAATGTCTTTGACGAAACGGCAAAATGTTCCTCTATCCCGTGCGGCCGCTCTTGGTTCTCCCACGCGGTCGGTGCATAATCAGCCAACCCGTGGCCCGCTCTACCCCGCATGCGGTGGGATCCACATCGCCGCGACAGACTTACGCAGGTAGAGCGACCCTTACGCAGGTAGAGCGACCCTCAACACCAACGCTGCATGCTACAGTCCGGTCGCTGAGTGAGAAACCCTTCTCGTTGAAGGGGGGATCAGTGCTCCTTGTTGGTTTTCAATGTTTTCCTCCAGGTTCCCCTAGGTTTTCAATGGAAGCTAGCAGTTAGATGTATGAGAAAAAGTTGTGTAAGGCTCCTTACCACATCGTGGTAGGGTTAGGTCGGGCATGTCTCCTTACGGTCGGATCTTGGGCGGAAAAAAAACGCCAAAGGTAAAACGTACCCAACAAATAGTTCCCAGTGTTTATATATATATATATATAAACACTATTTTCGAACATTCCTCCTGCAGAGGGACAGGCCCGACTGAATGGCAGGGACGGAACGGCACGGGAACTTCCAAGCATGGCGCGGCACGGCTCGCGGGCGCGGCACGGCGCTCGCACGCGGGCGCCGTGCAGAGCTCGGCGGCCTGAAAAAGCAGAGCACGGCGGTGCGCGGCACGCGAACGGCACAGTCTCGGCGCTCTGGGAGCGGAGTGTGGCAAGATTCGGCACGTGGGCGCGGCCCGCACACGTCTCGCGTCCTGAAGACAATAATCGCCTCGTCACAGCAATCGCATCCAGCCCTCTGGGCCCAGGTGGTTTAACCAGCTTTGCCTCCTCTCTGCCAAAATCCCCCTGCTCGGGGGATGGGGTTGCCCCTCCCCTCTACCCCCTCCCCTGGGCTTGGAAGGGGGGTGGCCCGCGAGGTGTCAGAGCTGCTTTGTTGGTCCAAGATGGCCCCAAGAAGGCCTGTGAGAGTGCAAGAAGGCCTCCAAGATGGATCAAGATACCTCCAGATGGCTCAAGACAACCTCTGACGCACATCCAAGGGGCCTCAAGATGGCTTTGCGTGCCTGACGAGCCCTCCAAGGACCCCCCCTCAAGAGGCAACACTGGCTCCCACATCGAATGAGCATGTATGGTTGTTGTCTTTTCGTTGTTCGCTTCCGATTGGCCTTAGGGGCCTCAAGATGACCAAATGACGGCCCAAGAGATCTCCGAGAGGGGTGTAAAACGGCTTCAAGCAGCCCTAAGAGCGCCCAAGAGCGATCCACAAGAGGGCCCCAAGACGGCATCTTCTCTTTTGGAACCACGAAAGCCAAAACGGCTCCGAGAGGCCCCTCAGACCCCCCTCCCCAAAGAGCCTCAGGAGGGCCCAGGCATCCCCAAATTAGCAATAGCACTACCAGCAGCAGCAGCAGCAGCACTAGCAGCAACACTGGCAGCGGCAAGAGCACCAGCATCAGCACACGATCGCTCTTACGAAGATCATGTCACGATTGTGCAGTTTGACGTTCACGTATGACGTGGTATAGCTAGCCTTGCACGCGGGTTCGGCCAATGTGCGTATATATATATATATATACATGTGTACATATATACATACACCGATATACACATGTATATAGTTATATACACATATATCACCATAGCCTCCACGCTCGTCCTCCTGTGTTTAACATATGGCACGCACATTTCCTGCGCACAGCTCTTGCCATGACTACCCGTCTTCTATACTTGCGTTTGCTTCTCTGTTGCCTGGATGGCCCAAGCTGAAGCCACCCAACACTGAGGGCGTCGAGTGCCAGACTGTGCTCCAAAGCACACCTGTGGTTGGACTCGTGGAAAACAAGGGGATCCAAGGAATACAATCGAGTTTCCGATTCCCCTTCTTCTCTCGTCCGAAAGCTTGTGGTAGCAACAGCACCACCACCAGCAACACCACCACCACCAGCATCAGCAACACGAACAGTAACATCAGCAGCAACACCAACAGCATAACCACTACCAGCTACAGCATCAACAGCACAAAAAAGGATGCATTGTAGAAAAAGAGGAGGCGGCGGCGGCGAAACGGTGTCGGGTTGAAGGTCGAAAGAAATCGAGCTCACACCACAATCCGATAACATTCAGGACTGTGCGACCTGCCGTGCGTAAAAAGTCTCTGCGGAAGGATGGCCCCACTGCGGGAGTCCCGAACTGTCCTCGCCCGACCACAGCCGACAAACTCGGACGACGAATTACCGATCAGGAGGAGCGAGCATCCCAGGACCCCCTCGGGCCTGTCGGGGGCACCCACGAGTCGCCAAGCTCACCAGCTCCTTAAAACTGAAGCGAGAAGGAACGGACAACGGACGAGGACAAGGAGGATGAGAGACGGGACGGGGGAGGGCAGCGGCGGCGCAACGGGGAGCCTCCTCCAGCTCGCGGATCACGACCCCCCCCGATCCGTTCGCGGTTGACGATCCACCGCGCTCCCAGCGCCGTCGGGAGCAGCATTAGCAGCACTAGTAGGAGCAGCACCAGCAACACTAGCAGCAGCAGCTGACGTGTCTGCTGCAACAGCTGGCAAGCCTCACCCGGCACCAGAGCCATCTCCGTGGCACGGGTTGTGCACGGTCGCTGCTCCGCGATTGGCGGCAGCGGATTGCAGTCCTCTTGGGGCGAGCCACTGCGGTGCTCGTCTCCTCCGCTACCGCACCAGCGCCCCAATAGTGGATCGCTGGTGCACCTCTCTTGTACAGGTGGTCACATCGAAGCTTGTCCGCGCAGACGTGTCCAAAGCAGCAGCAGCACAACCAGCAGCAGCAGCAGCAGCAACACAACCACAAGCAACAGCACCACCAGCAGCAGCACCAACACCAGCACCAGCACCATCGGCAGCACCAGCACCATCGGAAGCAGCACAGGCACCCCTCGCTCCCGGAGATCTCTCGGTCCTCTTCTTGCCCGCGCTGTTTCACTATGTCCTCCCTTCTCCCGCCAACTCTCATGGGCATCGTTTCAGGATGGGCTGGTGGGGATACGTGACGCGTTAAGACATCGGACCCCTCACCAAAAGTTGCTGCCTGGAGAAACGAATTCCTCAATCGTGGGTCTGTCGAAACACGGCTCGGGATTCTCTGGAACGAACAGCAATATCCCCGGGACAGGGTCTGGAGCACCGGGGCCCACGCGCAGCGGGAGCGGCCAAGAAGGGGGCGTCCAAGAGCGGGGGGGTGCAAATCATGGCCAGCGTCATGTGCGCGGCCCAGGGGGGGGGGGGGCCAGGGACGTAATGAAATAAGAAGAGGCGCCATGAAATCTGGGGAGATATCAGGGCCCCCGCCATGATATCCCCCCCCCCCCAGGTCCTCACCCCCTTCTTTGCCGCCCCCGAGTGCCGCTGGGCGCGGAGTGGGCGAGTCCTCAGGTCCTGGGCCCCATCCTCTAAGCCTCACTCCTCGCCCATGAGGAGTTTTGAAGGAGGGCATGGGCGCCTCGCGCTCAAACCTCCCGGGCTTCCCCGCCTGCCCCGTGGGGCTTCTCGCGTGCCCCTTGAGCCCCGGGGAGTGCTGTCGAATGCATCTGCTCAGCCCTAGAGGGCCCCAAGACGGACCAGGATGCTCCCAAGAGGCCTCCAAGAGGCCTCCCAACAGGTCTTCAAAAGGCAAACACCGTTGATTTCCCCGTCGCTTCTTGAAGGACTCTGGCGTTCTCGCCGTTTCGGCTTTCCGACGATTCAAGGATGGGCCGAAGGCCAATAGATACGGACAAACATGGGGAGGATGCCCACCAGCAAACGCTGTACAACAACACCAACAGCGGCCGCTGTTGGGCAGACTACGTCTGCCCCAGCTTGGCAACGCCCGCGGCGGCACCAGCAGCGCATCCTGCTCGACATAAGCAAGGCTGACGTCAACACCTGCCCCCACGCTTTCCGCCCCATCTCGATCCTGCCGACCTGTCCTTCACGGGGAGGCGGGGCACAAGAGGCCCCTCTGAACACATACACACACACAGCACCTGAACCCCCCCAGCACCTGACGAGTAGATCGACTACAGAATTGAGTTTCCCCGGATGAATTTGGCGCCGAATCTACGGACAATACATCGACTTCCCCGTAGAGTTGCAAGCATTCCACGTATTCCTCGTACCCCGAAGCGCCGAGACCCGTTCGAAGCCGGCCAGCGGGGCCCGTGGGGCGGCGCGCCCCCAGCAGCAGCTCGGACGGCGACCCGAGGCCGCCGCTGGCGCTCGGGGCGCTCGCGGAGCCGGCGGCGGCGACCTGAGGCTGCGGCGGCCCCGAGGCCGTCGTCGCCGTCGTCGCCCTCGGGATCGTCGTCGGTCGGGATCGTGGTCGTCGCCGCTGTTGCTGTCGTCGGCGGCGTTGTCGCCGGAGTCGGGAGGGGGGAGGGGGAGGGGAGGGGAGGGGAGGGGGAGGGGAGGGAGGGGGAGGGGGGAGAGAGGGGAGGAGAGGAGGAGGCGAGAGAGGCGGAGGAGGAGGAAGGAGGAGAGGAGGAGGAGGAGGAGGAGGATGAGGAGGAGGAGCGGAGAGGAGGAGATAGGAGGAGGAAGGCGAGGAAGGGGGATGGGAGGAGGTGTGAGGAGGAGAGGAGGAGTAGGATGAGAGGAGGAGGAGGAGGAGTGAGGAGGAGGAGGAGAGAGGAGGGAGGATCGTTCGTCGCGGAGTCGAAGGGCCGCCCTCGGCCACACTGCCCGCCGCCTCCTCCCTCTCCGGAGGCCTGCGAGGAGCTCGGGGGGCCGCCTCCGGTGGGAGTCGAGGGGCCGATCGCGGCCACACGGCCCTCCTCTCCCGCCTGTGGGCGGAGGGGGAGGACCACGAGGGGGGGAGGGAGGAACAGGGATCGACCTCAGCAGTGCATTATGCTTTCGTGCTGTCTTCGTTTTCCCTCGTTTTTTGCCTTCCATGCGCCCCTGCTGCCAGGCGACATCGAAAGCGAAAGCGGCCCACGGAATCGCCAAAACACCGTGTAGGTCGACCCCTGGAGGGGGGGTGGACGAAGGCAGGCTAGTGCTGGAGGCCACAGGGTGCAGCTCTCGACTACATCCGGCAGTGTGGCCGTGTTGCCGCCGCCGCTGCTCGAGGCGCGGCGCGTCCCCGGCGGCCCCGCCTCAGGGGTGAAGGCACTCCCGCCAGACGGAGGGAGGAAGGAACGAAGTGGAGGATGGAGGAGGGCGATTCTTCGGGGCCCCCAGACCCTGTGGTGACGGACCGCGTTGAGATCTGGGAATCCCCGGCGACGGGAGGAAGGAGCGAAGTGGAGGATCGAGGAGGGCGACTCTTCGGGGTCCCCAGACCCTGTGGTGACGGACCGGGCTGAGATCTGGGAATCCCCAGCGACCTGGGAACGCGGTCCGTTTCCGTACGGTTTTGGACCTCGGAAGCCCCAGTCGCTCGAGACATCCTCGGAGAACGACTCGAGTTCCCAGACCGTGTAGTGACCCCGAACCCCCACCGACTCGCCACGCGGTGTGGTCACCACACCCTCTGGGGGCCCCGAGATTCGAAGAGGGGCCAAAGGGACTCGAGAGGGTTCGGGGAGGAGGCCCCCCCCCTCTCATCCTCCCACCTCCCTCCCCCCCCCACCGTCTTGCCTCCACCTCTCTCTCTCTCTCTTCGCTCATCCCGGCCCTCCCCCACCTCCCCCCTGGCGGGAGCCCTCTTTAGAAGGCAGAAACTCCATCTCCATAATAACCCCCTCGACAAGCGAAGCCGTTCCGTAAACGCACCCATGGAAGGGATCGAACAGGGCAGGGCTGTTCAGTAAACGCCCAGGGCTGTTTAGTAAACGCGAACTGTCGGGGACGGGGTGTTTTGTTCCACCCTTGACTCTTGGGGGGGGGGGGGGGGGGGTCGTGGGAGGGGGAGGGGGAGGAGCAGGAGCAGGAGGAGAAGGAGGAGGAGGAGGCGGAGAAGGAGGAGCAGCAGGAGGAGCAGCAGGAGGAGGAGGAGGAGGAGGAGGAGGAGGAGGAGGAGGAGGAGGAGGAGGAGGAGTAGAGAAGCCCCCTTGGGGGGAGGGGGTCGTGGCGCTGCTGCCCAGCGGCCGCGTGCACGCCTGGCGCGCCCGTGGCGAAAGCGCACCCTCGTGCCCGCAAGGCATCTCGGCCGAGGGGCTGGCCGATCGATCGATCGCGGATCCGATCGGCTGGGCCCCCCTTCGGCCGAGCCTCGCGCGCCGCCGCGCCGGCGGCGTCGCGGCCGCACTGATGCCATGGATGTTTACTCCTGCGGAGGGCTGCCCGAAGAAGGCGTGGCGGCCCGCCTGGCAGCGCCAGGCAGAAATCAGATCTCTCGGTCCCATGGCAGCCCGCCGCCTCGCTCGCAGGCGGCGCCGCGACGCCATCGAGGCTTGGCTGTGCCATCATCAAGAACATTGGGACCTGAATCATCGTGACAATGGCACAGCGTCAAAATTGGAACCAGCACCAGCGATCAACGCCGCCGCCAAGCTCACAGAGGTCAAGTACGTCGTGATCGAAGTCCCCAGACGGTGCGGTCACCAGTACGACGACAAGTACGGCGTCCAGTACGGCGACCAGCATCTCGACCACGACGGAAACCAGCACGGCACTCAGTTCATCCCCGACCAGCACGACGACAGGTACGGAGTCCACTACGGCGACCAGTACGGCGACCAGTGCGGCATCCAGTACGGCGACCATTGCGACGACAGGTACGGCGACCAGCAGCTCGACCAGGACGAGGTCGACGACGCCGAGCCGTCCGAGCAGAACGAGACTTCGGAGGACTCGAACGCGGACGGCGCTGCGACCAGGGCGTGCTGCCAGAGGAAGGCACATATAGAGCCCGTTATCCCTACCCCTATCCGCAGCTCTGGGGTCCGCGCCTGCGAGAAGCGGGAGGCGAAGATAGAACCCCAGAAATACTGCTACAAGGCAGTGGCAGCGGGCAGTGGCGCGAGCCTGCGACAACAGGCGGTGGCGGGCAGTGGTGCGAGCAGTGGTGCAAGCCTGCGAGAACAGGCGGTGGCGGGCAGTGGTGCTAGCAGTGGTGAGAGCCTGCGAGAGCAGGCTGCTGCGGGCAGTGGTGCGAGCAGTGGCAGCGCAGCCGGCGGCGGGCAGTGGTGCGAGCAGTGGGCGGTGGCGGGCAGTGGCGGGCAATGGTGCGGCACTTCTCGGCCCGCCGTCGCCTACCCCACGGCGGCCCTGTTGCACGCGGCAGCGGCGGAGGCCGCGCGCGCAGCCACGGCGCGCCGCAACAACAACCACAAGCAACACCAGAATGCTCCAGACTACCAGAAGGAGGACTTAGGCGACCAGAAGGAGGACCCAGACAACCAGAAGGAGGACTCAGACGACCAGAGGGACCCAGACGAGCGGGCAGCAGTGCAAGCGGGCAGTGGTGCGACGAGGCAGCGGTGGTGCGAGCGGGCGGGCAGTGGTGCGAGCGGGCAGTGGTGCGTGCGGACGGGCAGTGGTGGTCAGAAGGACGTGCGTGCGGGCAGTGGTGCGTGCGGGCAGTGGTGCGAGCGGGCAGTGGTGCGAGCGGTCGTGGGCAGTGGTGCGTGCAGTGGCAGCCTCTCGACGACGCCCCCCAACGACCCCGCCCGACGCCCCTCGACGACTCTCGACGCCCCCACTTCGACACCCCTCGCCGACGCCCCCCGACGACGCCCCTTACCGACCCCCCCTTGGTGGCGAAGCTGGAGCCCGACGCGATCAGCTGCAGCGCCGCTATCAGGGCATGTGGCCAGAACACGAGCGCGCGAGAAGTGCCTGATGAACCTGAGCGCGCGCAAAGCGAGAAACATTCGCGGGCATACGTGCGAGAAGAGACGGTAGTGGCAGTGGGCAGTGGTGCGAGCCTGCGAAAACAGGCGGTGGCTGGCAGTGGCGCTGGCAGTGGCTGCCCCCTGCGAGAACAGGCGGCGGCGGGCAGTGGCGCCAGCCTGCGAGAACAGGCGGTGGCGGGCAGTGGTGCGTGCAGTGGCGCAAGACAGCGAGAGCAGGCGGCGGCGGGCAGTGGAGCGAGCAGCGGCAGCCTCCTGCGAGAACAGGCGGCGACGGGCAGTGGTGCGAGCAGTGGCAGCGGGCAGTGGCTGCCTGCTGCGGGCAGTGGTGCGAGCAGCGGCAGCGGGCAGCGGCGGCCGGCAGCCGGCGGCCGGCAGCTGGACGACCCTCCACGTCCAGCAACGGCGTCACCCCAATGGCGTGCGGCAGCCATCGCCGCGCTCCAAGCGGCAGGATCAACCCCCCCCAACGCCTGCTGCCTCGTCGACATGGTTTTCAATGGCGGCCCCGTTTAAGCCCGCGTCAAGGCGACCCTCGCAGGCCTCGGGAGCCCCTGGCCCCAGGACGACTCCCTCGGGGCGCGCGTGCGAGAAGGGACGGCAGTGGCTGCAGGCTGCGGGGCGAAGCTGGAGAGCCAGACGTCATCAGCTACAAGCGCCGAGCCTGCGACTCGCTCTTCCTGGGAACAAGACATTCCAATCCCCTTCGAGTGCGCCGGCACCGCCATCATCTTCGACCAGATAAAGCAACACATACGGTTCATAGAGCGGGCGACTGGTGTGTCGGCATTCCACAGCTCGTCCTCGTCCCTTCCCACGATCCTCCTTCGAGCGTCAAACAAGGTCAGCAAATCCAGTTTTGAGGAGGCTGTGCGGCTGACAGAAGACCTCCTCGAGCACGTCCGTGACGACGGCATCGAGAGTGAGGATGACGAGGATGACGAGTCCGAGAGCGGCACTGATGAGATTACCCACGAGGCGAGCCCCAGGACTACTCCCACGAGGAGGACTCCGACGGCTGCCACCACACCAACCCATACGACCAAGAAGGTGCTTTTCATCCTCGAGGCCGTGCCCGACCCCCCAGAGGACGAGATCGATCCCGATGACCCTGATGGCCCAGCCGACCACGGCGACGCCACCAGAAACACCACGCCCCAGGAGAGCGTCTCCGACGGCGTGCCCCAACACCAGCCTGGCGGCCAAGCCTCCACCCCGCGCCGATGGGAACCAGCAGCACACCTACGGGAACCAGCAGCACACCCCCGAGAACCAGCAGCACACCAACGGGTACCAGCAGAACACCGGGCACCAGCAGAGCATCGGGCACCAGCAGGGCTTCACGGAGGTAACCAACCTGAACAGCGGCTTCCTCAACGCCATCGCCCCCCCGGGTGGTGAGCGTGCCGCCCTCCTCAGGTGGAGGCTGGCGGCCACCGAGGGGGGACAAGTTCGTCGCGTTCGGCTACCACAGGGAGTACTTCATCTGAAGAGGCGGGGGGCGGTGGCCCCTGCCTCTGCGGCTACGCCTGCTCCGCGGGCACAGAGTCGTTATCGAAAGGATCGAAAGGAGGAGGAGGACCACCTCGCCCTCCAACTTATGGTGGTGGTGGTGGAAAACAGGCCCATCAGGGATGGAGACAAGCTCGGATGAGGATGCATCGGGGATCTCTGAGCCAACGGGTATGGAGGACGCCTCCGGAGGCCGCGGCCGTTCCCGAGCGTTCTCTGAGATTCTCTGAGGAGCTGGCCTGCAACGCTCTGCACCGATCTGTCCTCGCCCTGGGCCTGCCTGAACTTCCCCTCCCCTCTCCAGAGCCAGACCGTCCTGTTGGCGGCGGGCCTTCTCAGAAGGCTCGGAAGGCCCCCGGCCTTCTGAGAAGTTTTCGGAAGCTTCCCCGGAGACCACACAACACTTCTGAGAAGGCGCGAGGGCTTCTAAGAAGTCACACCGCCTTCTGAGAAGCCCTTCTCCTTCTTACTTCCCCCCCTCGCCCGGAGACCAAACAACACTTCTGAGAAGGCGCGAGGGCTTTTTTCTAAAAAGCTCTTCCCCTTCTTACTTCCCCCCCTCGCTCGCCGCCGATCCTGGCCTCCTGCCCTGGCCTCCTGCCCGACCCGGCCCGAGCAGCCAGGCCGACCCGGCCCAGACGCTGCACCGAAAAATCGGGCCGCTGCGGCCGAGCCGGCCCGCCGCCGAGCCGGTCCGATGAGGGGCAAAGATAGGGGGGAACTGGCATGGGGGGGATACATCGCCCTTGAATCGGCGATACATCGCCGATAGATCGGCGATAGGCCTCCCATCGTGAATCCGCACCTTCCTGGGCAGGTTGTGGGCCATCGGGACCCTATCGGCGATCCATGAGCGATTGGGGGTCGATGCATCCCCCAGTACGCCTCTATCCCCCCCTATCGTTGCCCCTGATCCGAGCCACTCCGCGTCGGAGGGGCGCGGTGGCCGCTGGTCAAAAGGAACGCAGGCTGTCGTGAGGGTCCAGACTTAAGTGCCTTAAGTCAGGCCTGTCCCTCTACAGGGGGAATATTCGAAAATAGTCAAAACATAGTCGAGGGATTATTTTTGACCATTTACATGTTTAGTGCATGTTTGGTGTATTTGTTTTCATTCTTCGTCCAAAATCGGCCTGTAGGGGGACACGCCCGACGTAATCCCAGCCGCGGCGCCCCTGCAGTCGCCCCCGCGCAGCTGGCCATCGCTCGGACGTCCCTTCCCTGTGCATGTTTGTTCGGCTTCGGGCGTGGCTGTTTCGCAGGACGATCCAGGATGCTCCTCGATAGTCCCCGCCGAGAAAGAAGTGGCTGTTTCGCAGGACGATCCAGGATGCTCCTCGATAGTCCCCGCCGAGAAAGAAGTGCCCACGTCCGAGCGATACCAGGGCAGCCGTATATGCCGCATATAGGGCGGGGAGGGGGGGAGGAGGAAACCGGTAACGAGCAGCAGCAGGAGCATTAGGAGGGATGAGAGGGGGAGGAAGGGGGCTATCCTGCGCACGTGCAACGACCAAGGCAGTAAAAAGTTGAAAGAGCACTAAAGGTCATGACAAATCACTAACATGTTCAGCGAGACACGCATGCATGTTACAACCAATGCTTCAGGATCGAGCACAGAATATGCGAGCTCAAGCTCGAAGCTACTCGAGGCCAGGTGGCCAATTTCTAGCCTGGGAGGTGTTTGGGCCCGCCCGTGCTTCGGCAGCATGCGAGCCCACTCTTCCCATTTCCCCAATCAGTGCTTGCACTGAAGTGGTCCTCGCGGAAGTTGCAAAATTTGGCGAAAATGTCCCGCCGATTTTGGTCGCACGCTGGGTTCCCGGGTTCCCGGTTCCGGGTTCCCGGGTTTCCGGTTTTTAATTGGTTCCGGGCTGATTTCGGTGGGTTCTGGGTTCCCGGGCTCCCGGGTTCCCAGTCGATCTCCTCAGCGAAAACCATCCACTGATTGGGGTTTTTCTATGGTGCAATTTTTATCTTGTCCGAGGACTTCTGTGCTGCAAAAGCCGTGGGTGGTGTGCTGTGAGCACTGCCCAGCAGATCGGTGAAGTGTGCCCAGCGGTCCTGGCACGCTCCCAGGGCACACCCTCCCCCGGCCCCACCAGAGCTCAAGGGCTCCCAACTTCGCGCTTCGCGCTGCGCGAAGCGCGAAGTGCGAATAACTTCGCGCTCTCGCGCCGCCTCCCAGGGGGGAAGAGGAGGAGGAGGAGAAATCGGAGCCGAACCGCGAAGCGCGAGTAACTCTTCGCGCCCTCGAGGGCGCCCTTGAGAGCTGGGGCCGGTGTCCTGTCCCGGGTGTCTCGAGGGCCGTCCCTAAGGCGTGGTATGGTGCTTTCCCTAGGTGTGCGTTTGGCCCTCGAGTCCTGGCGTGATTAGGAATGCTCATGCACGCCGGTCGGAAGAAGTGGGTAGAAACATGAAGTAGGAAGGCGGATAAAGTAGATTGGGTTCAGGCCCTCCCAAACAATAACAAAACATAACAACATCATATCGACTCTTGAAGTAGGAAGGCGCTTCAAGTAGATTGGGATCTGGGGTTCCAAAAATACCTACTTTCAACGACTGGCGTGTATGTTCCAGACCAAGTCCTCATACGTACGCAGCTCCCGCTCTTTCCACGTGCGCACAACACGATGGGGTCTGTCTTGGAGTTCCAGGCCGACTATGGCATGCGTTCGCGGACAGAGAAAAACAGTGCAATGGGAAGTGATGGGAGGGAGGGATGGGGTGCCAGGTATGGCGCGAGCGCACCTATCTCGTCAGCCTCCTCCTCCTCCTCCTCCTCCTCCTCCTCCACCTCCTCCTCCTCCTCCCCCTCCTCTCCTCCCCTCCTCCTCCTCCTCCTCCTCCTCCTCCTCCTCCTCCTCCCTCCTCCTCCTCCTCCTCCTCCTCCCCTCCTCCTCCTCCTTCCTCCGCCTCCTCCTCCTCCTCCTCCTCCCTCCTCCTCCTCCTCCTCCTCCCGTCCTCCCTCCTCCCTCCTCCCTCCTCCCTCCTCCCTCCTACCCTCCTCCCTCCTCCCTCCTCTCCTCCCCTCCTCCCTCCTCCCTACCACCCTCCTCCCTCCTCCCCTCCTCCCTCCTTCCCTCCTCCCTCCTCCCTCCCTCCCTCCACGCACCGCCCTCCTCACTCTCCCTCCTCCCACCCCCACCTCCCACCTCCCCCTCACCTCCTCCCCTCCTCCTCCTCCCTCCTTCCCTCCTCCCTCCTCCTCCTCCCTCCTCCTCCTCCCCTCCTTACCTCCCTCCTCCCTCCTCCCACCATCCCTCCTCCCACTCCTCCTCCTCCTCCTCCGTCCCTCCTCCTCCATCCTCCTCCTCCTCCTCCTTCCTCCTCCTCCTCCTCCTCCTCCTCCTCTCCTCCTCTCCTCCTCCTCCTCCCTCTCCCTCCTCCCTCCTCCCTCCTCCTCCCATCCCTCCTCCCTCCTGCCCACCTCCTCCCTACCTCCCTCCTCCCTCCACCCTCCACCCTCCTCCCCCTCCCCTCCTCCCTCCTCCCTCCTCCCTCCCCCTCCTCCTCCTCCCTCCTCCCTCCTCCCTCCCTCCCTCCTCCCCCTCCCGTCCTCCCCATCCCCCCCCCCTTTCTCCCCTCCCTCCCTCCCACCCTCCTACCCTACCTCCCTCCCTCCCTCCCTCCCTCCTCCCTCCCTCCCTCCCTTCCCTCCCTCCCACCCTCCCACTCCCCATGTTCCAGACCAAGTCCTCATACGTACGCAGCTCCCGCTCTTTCCACGTGCGCACAACACGATGGGGTCTGTCTTGGAGTTCCAGGCCGACTATGGCATGCGTTCGCGGACAGAGAAAAACAGTGCAATGGGAAGTGATGGGAGGGAGGGATGGGGTGCCAGGTATGGCGCGAGCGCACCTATCTCGTCCTCCTTCTCTCCCTCCCTCTAACTCCTCCCCCCATCCTCCTCCTCTCCCTCGCTCCTCCTCACCTCCTCCTCCTCCTCCGCCTCCTCCTCCTCCTGATCCTCCTTCCCTCCCCCTCCTCCCTCCTCCCTCCTTCCCTCCTCCCTCCTCCTCCTCCTCCTCCTCCTCGCTCCCCCTCCATCCCTCCGCCTCCCTCTCCCCCCACACCCTCCCCCCTCTCTCGCCCTCCCCTGCGCCTCCTGCCCCCAATCCCGCCCTGCCTGCACCTGCTGGCATCACGGGCCCCCCGTGCCCCGCCCGCAGAGGCCTGGTTGGGCACGCCGACCGCCGCGGGCGGCACGGGCGAGCCTCGGGCCCGGGGGGCCCGGGGGCGACCACGGGGCCCCCTGTCGAAGAGGGGCCAAGGGCCCAGGGAGGCGCCCGAGACGAGCAGCATTCCGCGGTGGAGGGCCCGAGCACGAAGAACGGAAGGGCGCCCCTGCTCACCCCTCCAAAGTCAAAGCCCCTGCTCTTGACCCTCGCACACGCTGCACGGAGAAAAGGATGTGCTGTTGCGAGTGGCCCAGGATGCGCTCCCGAGTTCTGGGGTGTCTGGCGGCCCTCCACTCTGCAGACAGCGCGGAGCCATTTGTTCGTCTCGCACTCGGCGAGCACGCGAATCGGTCGAAGCGAGCGCTGGGGCCACACGGCGAGGAACAGCAAAAAAGCCTCGAATATCTCTTCAGCGTGTCCTTTTCGCTGCTTCCTGCTGCCCTGGGAGGCGGGCCCAATCGCTGGCCGCCGCCTCCAGCAGTACCACGTACGGGGTCCGAGCAGATGGGCTCGCAGGACCGCCGATGTATCGGCGGCGTCGGCGACGCGCCTGCGCCGTCGGCGTTGAGAGCGTCGGGCTCCACACCGAGCCGCGTCGTCGAGAGAAGGCCACATGCGAATCCTGCCCCACCACACCCGCAGAAATCGGGGGGAGGGGGTAAGGTAGGGCTCGCATGTGGCCTCCTCGTCGATGCATCGCCGATACATCGGCGATCCTCCGAGCCTCCTCGGACCCAGCCTCGGCCGCTCCGGCAGCGTGGCCCTGCCACGTGGTGCCGCGGGCGCCGTGGCCGCCCCTCCGAAGCTGCGGGGGGCCTTTTTGCGCATCGTTTATCCGACCCCTATCCCCACCAGCCGCTCGCTTTACCCCCCCTAGATGGGGATAGAGGCCGTTGCCTTCGGGCTTCCAGGGTATCTCCCCAACTGGGGTGATGGGATGGCGGGGGTCTGGATGGGGATGGGGGTGGGGATAAGGGTCGGTCAAGCTACCCACCCACCCCGCAAACCGTCTAGCTCATTCCCACCCGCCCGCCCAACACATCAATAACACCCGAGCCTGAGCATGTTCAGCGGTCGTCTTTGGATGGACAGCTACCGGGACTCAAAACCGACCCCAGGTGCGCGACGCTTGGGCGAGGTGCGCCACGCGTGCCAGAGGCGCCACGCGCGCCAGGCACCCCTGGGGCCCGAGCTGGTGCGCCAGATGCGCCAGGTGCTCCGAAGCGCAAGGTGTGCCGCACCCTCTAGCCGTGCCAGGCGCGCCATGTTCGGGGCACGTGCAGAGTGCGTCAGATGCGCCTGCGCACGTGACAGCACAAGTCGGGAAACATGTCGGCCCCCGCCACCCTTGTCGAAAACCAATGCCCATCGTTGTGTCTGGTGGGCCTGCGCACAGCAGGCCACGCGCCACCACCCCCGCGGTCCCTGTCAAAAATAATGTGACAGTGATCGCGGGATGGCCGCGCATGATCCAGATTTTACCGCGAGGTGCATGCTGTATTGTTTTTGTTGTCAGGAATGGTAGCCCTGCGCACGGCAGGGAATGTGCTGGCACACCCGCCGTCCCTGTCAAACACAATACGAAGTGTTCGCGGGCCTCACGAACATGCCTCAAGACTTTGCCCCAAAATGTACTTTGCATTGTTTGTCCCAGCCCTCCTGTTGTGTTGGGTCCTCGTTTTGAACAGACGGTCCCCGCGTTCCCTCTCTCCTTCCCTCCCTCCTTTCTTCCTCCTCCCTCCTCCCTCCCCCTCCTCCCATCCCTTGCCTCTGCCCTCCGCATGTCCATTTCGGCGCACCCCTCACACGTTTCGTGGCCACATCGGGTGCTCCGCCCAAGGACCCAGTGGCAGGGTCTGCATGCAGTTCCACCTCCATTTCGGCGCACCCCTTCCACGTTTGGTGTTCCCATGGGTTCTCCACCCAAGGCCCCAGTGGCAGGGTCCGCATGCAGTTCGACCCCCATTTCGGCGCACCCCTCACACGTTTCGTGGCCCCATAGGGTACTCCACCCAAGGCCCTAGTGGCAGGGTCCGCATGCAGATCCACCCCCATTTTGGCGCACCCCTCACACGTTTCGTGGCCCCATAGGTACTCCACCCAAGGCCCCAGTGGCAGCCGTTGCGGCGCACCCCTCGCATGTTTCGTGGCCACATAGGGTGCTCCACCGAAGCAGGGTCCGCATGCAGTTCCACCTCCATTTTGGCGCACCCCTCACACGTTTCGTGGCCCCATAGGGTGCTCCACCCAATGCCCCAGTGGCAGGGTCCGCATGCAGTTCCACCCTTCATTTCGGCGCCCTTCCACGTTTCGTGACCCCAAAGGGCCCTAGTGGCAGCGCCCGCACGTGGTCCCACCCTGCATTGCGGCGCACACCTCACACGTTTCGTGGCCTCACATGGGGCTGCACCGACGGCTCCGGTGGCAACGTCCGCATGGCGTACCCGTGCCAATTGTGGCACACCCGTCACACGCGTCGTGGTCCCGGAGAGAGAGGTTCACCGAGGACGATACCCACAACTGCGTTACACACAGCTGCACATGTCAATGTTTGGGTCCTTCGCCAGGATAATTTGACAGGGATGGTGGGGGGTGGCCGCATCGGGTTGGCCGCGCATGCTCCGATTGTAGAGGCAGACTGCGAGTTGTACTGTTTTTTGACAAGGGTGGTGGTGGGCGGGTTGGCATGGTGCCCTCATGGTTCCTGGTGGGACGCCGGTCGCCTACGGGAGGGGGGTGTATTAGTGAGGAACCATGTTTAAACGACACTGAAGGGGTGAGGCCTCTTGACACTGAGCGTCGCAACCTGTACACCTGTCGGGCCGGGCGGAAGGGGGGGATAGCAAAAGGGGGTTTGAGAATCAGCTCACGTAGCTGATTGGCCCGGCGCCTCCCGTCGCTGGAGGCGGCTATGTACCTAGGAATGGGCCCCTCGGTGGGGCCGAAACCAGCTGCATGCAGCAGATATCGTAACCCCCCCTTTCCCAATCCCCCGCTTTCGTCCGGCCCGAACCTGGAGGCTCGGCGCAACCCCTGCCCGAGCAAGCGAAGGGGGGCAGCCGGGGCTCCGGGGTCATGCCAACCTCGTGGGGGCGGGCAGGATCGGAGGGAGGCGGGAGCAGGAGCGGAGTGCCCCAGACATCCTGGCGTCCTCGACTGGTCGCGAGATCGGAGGGAGGCGAGAGCAGGAGCCGCCTTGGGGATCAGCTACAGAAGTTGCAGACCCCAGAACTGACTTCCCCCATCGAATCTTCGACGAACGCCTGGACTTTTCGCCAGTCTGGCGAGAACTCGGCCTCGTACTTTCCCGTCGATTCGACGAGGAAACGAATTCCGGGGTAAATCAGTTCTGTAGTCGATCCCCGATTCGAAAAAGCGGAGTGCCCCAGACATCCCGGCGCTGTCGTCTAGGTCTCCTAGATGGGGTCGGAGTAGATAGGGTCGGGGGATCGCGCCGCATCGCCGATGCATCGCCGATGCGGCTCGATGTGCAGTCCGATTTGCGTCGCGTCGACGTCGCCGATGCATCGCCAGCGTCGCCGATGCATCGCCGCTGCATCGCCGCTGCATCGCCGATGCATCGGCGATGCGGTGCGATCCTCCGACCTCGTCCACTCCGACCCCATCTGGGAGGCCTCTGTGTCGTCCGCGGCGTGGGCCCCCACAGGGCTCCGGGCACCGGCTCGCGGACAGCTGCCTCTCCTCCCGGTCCGCCTCTCGAACCCCCCCCCGGGGCGGGCCCGAAGCGGGCCTCCCAAGGCAGGGCCCGCCCGAGAGAAGGTCCGCCGCCCCCCCGTCCCTCTGCAACGCAAGAAATGAAGAGGCAACCGCTGTGAGGTCTTCGTCGGAAACACGTGTGAAGACTGAGCCCCATAGGGGGGGCCGCTACGCCGGCTGAAGCCGCGGCGGAGTAAGCGATGTTAAACCGGATTGAGCGGGAGTAAGACGGAACCAACGAGATCTCGGACCAGGCAGGGCCAGAGGGTGACCTCCCAGGAATGGCATCCGAAAGGGAAGGCTGCGGTGGCAGCGCGGAGCGACCCACGTGTCCGCGACCTCGGGCGTGCAAGGGGCCCTCTGGCCACCCGTGCCAGCTCCGAGACGGAAGGGCCCTTCCTCTGGCATGGGGCACGCGCAGGAGGCGGACGGGAACATCAGAAGTGACGAAGAGGTGGGAGGGAGAAGGAGGACAAGGAGACAGGAGGAGGATAAGGGAGGGCGGTGGCGGAAGAAGGAGGATGAGCAGAGAGGTTGGAGAAGGGGCGAGGAGGACAAGGAGGGATCGTGCAGAAGGATGAAGGATAAGAAGGGAGGATCAGGAAGAAAAGCGCCATACCGAAAGAGGATGCAAGAGGACAAAGAGAGGATGGACGAGGATATGGAAATCGAAACAAGGCTGCATGAAGGATGATGGGTAGGAGGATAAGGCCACCCGAGGCATCTGGAGTGCGGCGGAGGCCCCCGAAGGTCCAAGAAAGACAAGGAAAACAGGCAGCTCGCTCCTGTGGCCGAGGAATGTACACCGAGACGTGCGCACGAGCGGAAATTGAGGCTGTCGACTCGGCCCATAGAAGTGCGGCGATGTGCCGCGGAGTTGGCAAAGCGCCGCCTCCACCTGCCTCGAGAAAAGCCGTCCAGGATTTCATCGCAAGGGCGCTGTGAGGAAGATCAGCCTGGGAGAGACGGCTCCTGAAAAGTATGTTGCACAATAGGTGTGGATCAAGGCAAGATCTTCATCCGGTGTATCAGTTCTCGCTTAGTGTGCTCAAGAGGAGCTTGTTCCAATAACGATCTCCTGTTGCGCCTCGGAGATGTAGTACTTGACGCCATGGCTTGCCTTTCCGTTCAGCGTAAGCGTATATGCAGGTGAGTGTGTGTGTGTGTGTGTGAGGGCGGGGGGGGGTCGCGAGCCCGCTGGCTGGCCGTCGGCCTGGCAGGCGCGCGCGAGCGGACACACCTTTTCAGCGAGGTGGGATATCTGCAAATGTGGCCCCGCCAACTCTCACTTGGAGGGTCGAGGCGGGGCAAAACATAGATAGCGAACTTGAATGAAACGGGTCCTGGACAATTTCTG